CCCCCCCCCCCCATCCAGCTCCAGGGTGGGTCTGGGGGCTGATGAGGCTAGTTCTGCTGGGTCTCTGCCTGCCCGCCAAGTCCCTGCCCCAACTCGGGTCCCACCCGGGTGTGCCAGTGCCCCCGCACCGCCCTCTCCTCCCAGGCTGCCCCTCCCTGTGCCCTGCCCTCCTGCACCCCACTGGTGGGCCTGGGAAGCCCCCCATCCCAGAGGTGCTGCAGAGACCCCAGGATCCTCTCTGGGAGGCTGCCCCACGGGTGCCTTCCTGTGGGTACCGTGGGTAGGCTCACTGCTACCCCCTCCCCACAGGGCCGAGAAGGAGTGGGGAGACGGCATCAGGGGGCTGTCGCTGAATGCCGCCCGCTACGCCCTGCTGCACGTGGAGCACGGTCCCCCCCACACCAAGAACTGGAGGTGAGCACCCCAGCCCACCCTGCCTCAGGCCCTTTGTACCCACAAGTGCCTGTCCCTAAAATCAGGCTCCAGGGACAGTCCATGGTTCTCTCTAGGAACTGATTGTCTCAGTAGCTTCTAGCTCCTTCCCGCAGAGCCAGGCATGGTGGCGAGGGGCACGGGGCTCTCGGTGGGCAGAGACAGCATGGCGCGCGGTGTCGGGGAGCTGGCTGGTGTCGGGCTCTGCTGTGGACCATCGTGCGCCTCCTGCCCACTGGAGGGAAGGGAGTTCTGCCCCCAAGAGCCAGGTGCCTCGGGTGCCTGGGCAGCAGCTGCTCACTGTGGCCCTAGCCACCTGGCAGTGCTGTGGTAAGTTGTCATGGTAACCTTGGTCCCCCGCAGGCCGCAGGTGCTGGTGATGCTGAGCCTGGACGAGGAACAGGGTGTGAAGCACCCGCGCCTGCTGTCCTTCACCACACAGCTCAAGGCCGGCAAGGGCCTGACCATTGTGGGCTCCGTGCTGGAGGGCACCTTCCTGGACAAGCACGCGGAGGCCCAGCGGGCCGAGGAGGTAGGTGGGTGGGTGGGCAGGAGGGCAGAGCGGGGTCACTCCACCCAGGCTGCATGCGGAGGCCAGCCCAGCCCGTCGTAGTCTGAGGCCCTGAAGCGCTTCTGCTGCCGTGTCGTGCTGTGTCAGAGGAGACGGTGGTTTCTGAGTTTGGAGTGTGCAGGGCTAGAAACCCCAGTAGGTGTGACACCCAGGAAAGCTAGGGCCTGCCTCCAAGGGCCTGGTGCCACGGGCCAGCCAGCATGAGCCTCGGGAAGGCCCTGGATGGGGTGCCTGCAAGGCCCTTGACCACTCAGCTTCATACCACGTCCTCCCACGTTTGAGGTCTGCACGTGTGTGAGGCCTGTGTACCACCACTGCGTTTGCCGTCAGAGGCTCTGGACTGGCAGGGATGAGGGCCAAGGGCAGGCCAGGCCCCCTCTCCCTGACTCAGATGCTGACGCTGCACCACGTCTGACCTGCTGCCCTCGGCTCCTCAGCATCTGGTCCTGAGCCCAGTCTCTTTATGTCACTCCCTGCCCTTCAGGCACCTTCTTACAGGAAATCCAAATGTGAACAGAAATGGCAAATGGAGTATCAAGCCCTGTGCGGCCAGCCCCCAGCCTGCGACCCTGCCTCCCTGCCCTTGGCCTGGTTATTCTGAGCCCAGTCTGCCCCCTCCCCTCTGTCATCCTCTCCGCATTTGCTCTGAGAGGGCTGGCCTTTCCTGCAGCCACCCTGCAACGTCTAGGGCGCCCCAGCAGCCCCTCGCCTCCTAGCTGCTCAGATCTCCTCTTCCCTCCGTGCCAGTAAGGATTGTTCCCACCAGGCCAGTGGCGTGTCTGCCTCTCTTGCCTCTTGGGTGGTCCCTGTCCCTGTCAGGAGGGTCCCCATACCTGGTGCTCTGGAACACCCCCCAGCCATGGTCACATGCCTGTGAATCAAGGCAGCACTGCTGGGCTCACTTAGATCCAGGCAGTTAATTCTGGGGCAGGCAAGAGAGCTCAGAGCAGGGTTACAGGCAGCGTTGCCCGTCAGCAGTTGCAGATGGCAATCCTGATCCTGCCCTTGCTCGGCCACCCAGGTGGCCAGTGCCTGTGGAGACACTTGCCCTGGCCTTCAGCGGCTCGCAGGCTCAGCTCGTTGGAGGTCAGGTGACACGCTTGCTCCATTCCTTTCTCTCCAAAGGCACCAGCGTGACTTAGGCCTTGGGTCTAACTGGGCAGTCGTGGGCCACAGACCCGGGCTTAAGCGTGCCCTTCATTGACTGTGGATCCTGGGTTTAAGCATCGTAGTTAGGGACACACTCTGGATCCAAGCGTGGCCGTTGTTGGCCGTAGACCCTGGTTTCAGTGTGGCGGTTGTGGACCGTGGACCCTGGCCTCCGCATGGTGGTTTCTGACTGTAGACGGGCTTAGGTGCTGTGCGGGTGACCTTGGGATGTCCATCAGCCTGTTCTCGGCTGGGCCAGGGCAGCCCCTTCACCTTGGTGCCTTTGCTGTTTTGGCCCAGCCTGGGGGTCCTGTCTGCTTCCTGTGTTCGGTGTGACAAACTCCAGGCCTGTCTGGGGCATTTCCTGCCAGACCTTCTTCTGTGGGCAGGAAAGCCTGGGTTTTTATTTCCGACATTGCTAAGAGCTGTGTGACTGTGGCCACAGCTCGTGGTACAAGTGCTTGGCAGCTCCTCTGCCCTCAACTGGGAGATGGCGCTGGCCGCCGTGCCAGCAGGCGGTGTGCTGCTCCGAGGGTTGAGCCAGGGCAGCCCACTGCACCCTTCTGAGAAGCAGCATGGGAGAAGTGCCCTGAGCTTGCTCTGGCAGCTTTAAAGTCGTTCTCATGACCAGTGTGCAGGGCAAGCAGCCCCTGACTTGTGCCTTAAATCCAGTTTCTATGGAGATCATTTTAATCTTTGAAAGCTTCACTTGAGAAGCACTTGGAGGTGTCTGAGCCATGAGCGTGCTGACTAGGACAGAAAGCTGGCGTCTGCTGGTGACCTTGGCCTTAACCGTCTGGGCTAATTAGCGGGTAGAGGTGGCAGGGAACCAGGGGCCTCACTGGTGTGTGCCGATGCCCATGCATGCGTGAGCTCATCCACCCACACAGCTGTTCCCTCACACGCATGCAGGTGGCCCTCTGGCACCCGGCCGGGGTCCCAGGTCCCAGGGGTGGAGGCGGCGCCTGCCAGCCCTGGCCCTGCCTTGGGGCCTGCAGGGTGCCTGACCCCACCTGTCTCCTCAGAACATTCGGTCTTTGATGAGCATGGAGAAAATGAAGGGCTTCTGCCAGCTGGTGGTGTCCTGCACCCGGCGGGACGGCATGTCCCACCTGATCCAGTCGGCCGGCCTGGGGGGCATGAGGCACAACACGGTGCTCATGGCCTGGCCACAGTCCTGGAAGCAGGAGGACAACCCTTTCTCCTGGAAGAACTTCGTGGGTGCGTCCTGCCCCAGGGCCTGTGCAGGCTTCCACGTGCTCCTCTGGGTCTGACGATCATGCTCTCTGGAGGCCTTCAATTAAAAAGCACCCAGTCTCCCAACCCTGCTCCCAGTTGGGTGACTCCTGGGTGACCTGTGCAGGTGGGGCGGGGCCGCCCTGGGCAGGGGCTTTGCGGGACCCTGTGGCCTTGCCCGCAGCCACCGCCCCTCAGGCTGGCTGGGGGCAGTGAGGCCGTGGGGCCATGCGGTTCCGCCCCATCCAAGGCACCCACTGCCTCTCCAGACACTGTGCGTGACACCACTGCGGCGCAGCAGGCCCTGCTGGTGGCCAAAAACGTGGACCTGTTTCCGCAAAACCAGGAGCGCCTCGGCGAGGGGAACATTGACGTGTGGTGGGTCGTGCATGATGGAGGCCTCCTCATGCTGCTGCCCTTCCTGCTGCGACAGCACAAGGTGGGCACGGGGCGTGGAGACGGGCACAGGGCGTGGAGACGGGCATGGGGCTGTGGGCTGCACGGGGGGCGCCGGGGTGGCACCGGCCAGCCCTCACCCCACCCCGCGCCCAGGTGTGGAGGAAATGCCGCATGCGCATCTTCACGGTGGCCCAGGAGGATGACAACAGCATCCAAATGAAGAAGGACCTGCAGATGTTCCTGTACCACCTCCGCATCAGCGCCGAGGTAGAGGTGGTGGAGATGGTGAGCGGACGGCGGGGGCGTGGGGGTGAGACGGCCAGCGCGGGGAGGGCGGGGCCTGTGGAGCCCCACCCCCCACGCTCACCCCCTTTGCCCCGCCCTCTGGTGCCTTTTGCCGCCAGGGTTGCCGTACTCCTGTAACCGTGCTTTGGCCTCTCCTGTCCCTGTTTGGGGACCTGCTGCAGTTTTAAGTCATCTGAAGCTAAGGGGAATTAGGATGACAGGCAATCTGGCCTCCATCTGAGGGGCTGCAGGGCTGAGGACCACATTCCGGAGCTTGGAGTCAGCATCAAAATTCCCACCTACTAGTCACGGTGTTTCAGAGGCTCTCAGGCCCTTCCAAGGAGGTAGTTGGTTGTGACTGTTTAATAGAAATGTCAAAACCCATAACTCAGCTTGATTCCAGCCTTAATTGCAAGTAAGGCTTAATTACAAACATCTGTGGCATCGGGGACACTGAAATGGTGACAGGGCCACCAGGGACACCCCACCTGGATTTGCAGTCGGGGGAGCCGGTCCCGCTCTCCCGTGGAGCTCCAGGCACCGCTAGGCTGGACCTGGCTCGGTCCTCCTGCCAGGAAGTGGCAGGGTCCCCAATCCTCTCCACTGCATCTGGGGAGTTTGCCAGGCAACTTCCCCTGCAGGGCCCACCTAGACGGGGAGCCCTCCTGAGCATGGGGCCCAAGGGTGCCGGCCAGCAGAGGCAGGGTGCCCACAGGGGAGGCCAGTGGCCAACGGCCAAAGTTTAACAGTAAAGAATCAGGGTCACTAATACTGAGGGAGTTGGTCCCAGCCAGCAAGGCTTAGGAAAACCAGTCAGGAGCATAAACCATGAATAGTCTGCACAGAGGGGTTTGGGGTGAGACTCCTCTTTAAAATGAATTGTTTTATAAGGAGTATTAAGGAAGTAAGGATAAGTGGACATTCAGTGGGGCCAGAACCAGCCCAGTGAGTGCTGTGGGAGTCGGGGTCAGCACCCCTGTGGTGTCAGCCGCTGGCAGGCCATGCACAATCACCCTGCTTGCTGGATAGCTGATGTTGGAGCCATAAGGGTCAGAAATAGGGGTACTGCAGACAAAACGACTAAGCATCTGGAACCCAAGAAAACACACTTCCTGTTTAGTGAGAATTTAGTAAACAGACCCGTGCAGATATACCACATGAACATTGGTTTCCCTACGTGACTCATTAGGAAACTTAAGGGCATTTAACACAATACATAAGTTCAGGGGAACAGCAAACAGGCCCTCTGGCCCTGCCAGACGGAGCTCAGTTTCAGGGAGGGTCACACAGGCCCTGAGAGGAATCACCCCTTGGCAGGCAAGAAGGCCAGGGTCACCGAGGAGATCCCGGCTCGGTGGTCAGTGGGGAGTTGCAGGCACACTGTGCAGGTGATCGGCTCTGCTCTGGGCCCTTGTGAGCATGTCCTGGCACTCGGTCTGTTGCTGGCAGCCACAGCCAGACAGGCCCACATCCAGATTCACCAACAGCGTGCCCTTGGTTGGCTGTGGCAGCCTCCTCGCAGGCAGGTGTCTAGGGTGTCAGTGTACAGCACATGGCCCCAGGGCCAGGGTGTGTTCAAATGGGGTGTTCTTGGCACTCCCACCCTGGCCCTGCCTCTCACCCCGGCCCTGGCCCTGGCTCTCAGCCAAGTTTAGTAGGTGGCATCTATGGGTGGCTTGCTTTCTGCACATGTCGTTCAGCTCTTGGGATGTTCCAGGTGGAAAATGACATCTCAGCATTCACATATGAGAAGACACTGGTGATGGAGCAGAGGTCCCAGATGCTAAAGCAGATGCAGCTGTCCAGGACAGAGCGGGAGAGAGAGGTGCGGGCATGCCCCTCCGCTGCGGGCCAGCAGTCATGGGGTGGGAGGCAGCCCCCTGAGGCACTGCGTGCCCTCCAGCAGTCCCACAGCTACGAGCCAGCCGTCCCCCCCGAAGTTTCGTGAAGGGCGGGTGGTGGATGGGCGCCTGCTTCCACCTCCCCCCACAGGCCCCCGTGGGCCACACTCAGGTGGGGCTGGGCTGGGTGGCCCCCCACCTAACACACACAGCGCCTTCAACGCTGGCCCTTGCTGCTGTCCCAGCCAGGCACAGCCCCTGTGTCACCCCCTCCGAGGCCCCCGGCCTCTCTCCCCCATCACCTCCGTCCTCAGGCAGGCAGCCAGTGAGTCATTCCCCAGGCTCTGTCCCTGACCTCTAGGGGCTGCACTCTGACCCCTGGGCCTCCCCCATGCCCTCTGGCCATCAGGTGGTGCCTCTTCCGACACAGGCTTCCTGGGGTGGCCTGGACTGGCAGCTCCCTCCCGAAGGACGAAGGACGTGGTCCCTCTGCTGTTGGCGAGGGGATGGGGCTGTGAGAGGGAGGGAAGCAGGTCAGGGCAGAATGTGCATGTCGGCCCGACCTTGTCAGCTTCAGAGCTGGGACAGGTGGAATCCATGAGTCTGCTCGGGAGGAGGGGGTCTGGCCAGAGTGGACAGCATCGGGGCCCCAGTGTGGGGCCTGACTGGGGCTCCCGGGGCCAGCCCGCCCTGTTCCCCTGGGGGGCTCTGGGCCTGCTGATCGTAGTGAGCCTGTTGTTGCCCTGCCCGCCAGGCTCAGCTAATCCACGACCGGAACACCGCATCCCATTCTGCAGTGGCCGCCAGGACCCAGGCCCCATCCTCGCCAGACAAGGTGCAGATGACCTGGACCAAGGAAAAGCTTGCCGCTGAGAAGCACAAGAGCAGAGACCCTGGCATGCCTGGGTTCAAAGGTCTCTTCAGCCTAAAGCCGTGAGTGTTGGTCCGTGCAGGCTGGCAGCTCCCTTCTGCGGCCCGCTGGAGAGCCCCAGGCACACCCCCATGGGCCTCGGGGGGACGTATGTGGCCAGGAGCTGGTCTGCCTCTGGGGGCCAGATGGGACATGGGCAGCAAGCTCACCTGAAGCAGCGCCCCTGCCCCCCGCTGGGTCTTGCAATGGCAATGTTAGGGCTTCTGGGTGGGCTTGGAACTCCCAGCCCTGACCCCACCAGTGGTGCCCACTGCCCTCGGGGCTGGGCCTTTCCCTGCCGTGGCTCCTGCCTGTGGCATCGAGAGCCCCCAGGGCTCTTTGGCAGTGGAACTAAATCTTAAATTCCTGGGTTGCTGGGAGGGGCCAGGGGGCTTTCTGGGGTCCATGGGGTCAGACCCTCTGGTGGAGAAGCCTATGTAAACTGAAAAAAGGGCAGCTTGGGATGTGCCCAGAAACTGTTTGAAAGTTCATCCTGTTCTCTCCCAGAGTAACATGTTCTTTGTTTTCCCTTCCGCATAGAGAATGGGGAAGCCTGTAAGTCGCCACTGTGTGGATACTCCTTAGATTTAGGGCCTTGCATGCCAGCTTGCACAGCCCCCTGTGAACCACATGTGCACGGCTGTGTATGTGCATGTGTCCCTGTGTGTGCACATGTGTCTGTGTGCAGGCAGAGTGTGCCTGCTGCTGTTTCGCTTTCAGTAGCTGCTATTTAATTCGCTTCCCTCCGCCCAGAGCAGCTCCTGGCTCGTGCCTGAGATTCAGTCTCAATAACACCTGGGAATTGGAGGGGGGCAGGCTGGCCTCGGCAGCTCTAGCGCAGAGGATATGTGCGTGTTGGCAGCTCTTAGCTCACACAACATCCACAGGCATGCGGTTCCCCAAGGATAGCCTTAATCCCTACCCCGTGGCATTTGCGCCTTCTGTGTACATGTGGCGGGAATGCGGGTGAACCTCCGTGTGATCAGGCCTCAGGAGCCAGGGGGCAGGGCGCCCCAAGGTTGCTGGCATCTGCTGTTCGTCCCTCCCTGCCCAGCACCTCTCTGGGCTGGGCGTCTATGGCAGCGGCCACTCCATCTCTAGCCCCTCAACCTGAGTTAGTCACGTACTCAGGGAGACGTGTAGATGTCTCAGCAAACTGCAGGGGGGTCCACCAGACCGATTTATCGTAAGCTAAAAAGCATCCCCCCCAAGTCAGCTCTGTTTATTAAAAAACCAAAATGAACACGTTGGCATAGGAGTAGTGCTTCTCCCCTAAAACCCCATTGCCCCCGGGCCAGCTGAGACCCTGTCCCCACGTGGGCTGCCACCCTTCCCGGGGTCGGGTTCGGGCAGCAGGCCCACCGAGTCAACAGTGTGAGTGGGAAAAGGGCGTTCCAGGCGTGGAAGAAGCGTGTGGGTTGACGTTCCACAGGGAGCCATGTGCTGGGGACAAGACTTCCTCCTGTATGGCTCCTTCGTGTGGGTTGGGCTGGGAGAAGCTTCTGGAAGGTGCCGAGGCCAGCCCATAGGTGACACGTGTGACCTGCCGTGGCATCCCGGGTGTGTGTGGCCCCATGAGGAGCTGCAGGACGGGATTCCCGTTTTGTGCCGCCCACCCTTCCCCTGCCTCGGGCAGCCCACCACCCCGGACACTGACTCCCACCAGATGCAGCGTATTTATGACATGTCTCCTCGTGGGTTCTCGGTGGGTGGGAACCTGTGCAGGTTCCTGTTTGCTCCCTGGGACGCGAGGGCCCCCTGCCTGCCTGTGCCTGGCATGCATGGAGCACCTCACGCTGGAGCCGCGGGCCCTTCCAGGCCCAGGCCTGCTCCTGGCATTACCCATGTTGTCAGATCCTAACCGTGAGCGGGGCCTTTGACATCGCACACTTCTGGAACTGCTGTCGGCCCCAGGCACCGGAACTGTGATCTGTCCAGGCAGCTAACTCGTGGCTGTTGTGACGAAGGACCCCCAGTTGTGCTGTGGGCAGAGGCCCAATCTGTAGTTCTGTCAGGGAGAGAAAATAAAGGGTTTGTCTCCCTCTTTCCTCCTGGTAACGGGTGGCTCTCATGGGGCTCACTGGCCTCAGGACAGAGCCGACCAAGGTGTCTGCCAGCCTCTTCCCAGCCTTGTGTCCAGGGCCCGAGTCCTGCCCTCAGAGGGCCACGGCTGCCATGCAGGTGCCTGAGGCCTAGAGGCCGTGCCAGCTTTCTGATGGGGCAGGTGGCTCTCCCAGGCCTGCATCTAGTGTGCTTCCTGGGGCCCAATTCACCCAGTGAATGAGCACAGATCTGTGGGTGCTCAGCACCCAGGCATGCTGGTGGGCCTGGGTCTACAGAGGCTGGGGACCCTCCCTCCCGCTGCTGGGCCTGGGCACCTGGAGAAGCATCAGCACCCACAAGCCACTGCACTGCACACACTTGTGGGCAGTCAGTGAGGATGCGGGACACAGGCCGGGTGGCAAATGTCAGGAGCTCCTGGCCACTTGCTGCCATCAGGCTCCAGGGTGCAGGAGGCTGAGAGCCGGGGTGGAGCCTCCCTGGGGCTGGTTCTTGGCAAGGATCCAGGGTGTGATGCTTGGCCTTGGGTCATAGGGCCCATGCAGCCTCAGGGGGTGGGGAAGAAGGTCCTTCCTTTCCATTTCTGAGGCCCCTGCGGCCCCCAGCCGGTGCCAGGATGAGCGAGAGGCTGCCACATGCGCCCCACCCAGGCACGTAGCGAGGCAGCGGCTAAAGCAGGGATCTCAGTGGGAAATGTTCTGGAGCCGGCAGGTGGCTGACCGCGAGCTGCACCCCGGGAGCATCCGTCTCCCCTGGTGAGGGTGGCTGCTCGTACACACAGGGTCATGGCAGCTTTAGGGACATGCAGAAGGCCTGCTCCTGGCCGGATAGATCGCCCAGCCTGCTACACTGTCAGGCAGATGACCCGGGGTGGGGAAGCCATCTGAACCTGGTTTGTTTCTGCTGGGTCTGTGTCTGCAGTGAGTGGTGCACGCAGATCGGGGCTCTGGTGGCCTGTGTGTGGAACCATGGGCGGGAGGCTGAGTGTGCATCTCCCCACAGGGACCAGGCCAACGTCCGGAGGATGCACACGGCCGTAAAGCTCAATGGGGTTGTCCTCAGCAAGTCCCAGGAAGCCCAGCTGGTCTTGCTGAACATGCCAGGGCCCCCTAGAAACCGGCAGGGGGATGAGAACTGTATCCTTCCTGGGTTACATTACCTGCGGGTTTCCCTGGAGTAGCTGGGGGTGGCTTTCTGCTTGTTCAGAAGGGGATCCTGGAGCTGGGGTCGGCCACAGGGGCCCAAGGCTGACGGACCACAGCCCCCCTCCCCTGGGCTGCACATGGGGGCCACAAGCAGGTGGGCACCGAGGAGGGGTGGGCCCCACTTGGCTGGTTGCAGTGGACCCGGGAGTGGGAGGAGGCATCAAGGAAAGGACACTTCATAACCCAGGGGTACCAGCGCATGGCCCTGACCGGGCCTCAGGTGTCAGCACTGGGCTGCAGGAGGCGGTGTGACAACCATGGGGAATAGTGACTATGTGTTCTGCACTCAACAGTGGAGGCCTCATGGAGGCCCAGGACACCCAGGATTTGGGGTGATGAGTGGAGTGGACATGAGCACAGACCAAACCCCCAGGTGCCTGGGAGGGGCTGGAGCCCACCAGGAGCCCCGCCTTGACATCCGTTGCATGGTGCAGGACGGCACAGCACGGTGAGGCCTGTGGGCACTGGCTCCCACCTGGGGCTCCAGTCCTGAGTGCTTCTTGTGGCTGCACACCACCTCCAGTCAGGGCAGAGCCTGGAGCATGGGCGGGTGGTTCTGCCCTGGCCTTGTGTGTGGCCTTACTGTCTTACATGCTTTGGCATGCACCCAGCCCCCTTCCCCATGGTGCCCAGCCCTCCTAGTCAGTGGGGTATGTCTGCTGCCTGGTGGGTGTGCCTGCCCCCTCCACCCCCAGGCATCCCCTCCACTCGGGGCACAGGGAGCCAGGAGCCAGGAGGGCGGAGCCCTGGTTCTCGGGTCTAAAGCTTTAGGAATCATGTTTTGTTGGTGACCAGGACTCCCTGGCCTGTGGTGTCTTGGTGGACGTGTGCACCTTGCACACCATCCTGATGGTGTGTGCCCCAGCAGGCGCCCACCCATGTGGGATCACGTGGCTCTGTCGGGAGGGCCTGTCGTCCCGATGCACCTTGGTCCTGTCTCATGCTGAGTCCTGGGGACACGGGCAGTGAGGTCTTCCTTTGTGCTTCCAGCTCCATGCAGGCGTCACTGTGTCCTTAACGAGTCCGCCCAGACATGGAGTTCCTCGAGGTCCTGACTGAGGGGCTGAACAGGGTCCTTCTGGTCAGAGGCAGTGGCCGGGAGGTGATCACCATCTACTCCTAGTGTTCAGCCATGCGGGGAGGCCTGGGGGCTGCGACATGGCAAACGCTGCCCAGTGGCCTCACCTGATGGGGTGGCTTCCCACAAGTTTTTGGAATGCTGTGGGGTCTCCTGTCCAGGCCAAGGGCCACACATGAAAAGTTTTGTTGCATCCATGGGGAGATGCAGAGGCCTTAGTGCCCATGTGTTCCTGGGGGAGGTCAGGGTACCGGGCACATCGTGCAGCCACAGCAGCAGAGTGAGGCAGGGAGGCAGGCCACGTGTCCACCTTTGCATCCAGAGTAACCTTTCCTTGGCGGCGCCCACCTGGCTTCCGCAGTGACAGTCTACCAACGCCCCGTCTGGGCCGCTCGCGGGAAGCCGCTCCCACTGGCGCTGTCCCCTGGGCTGCTGGGCCCATTGAGGTACGTAAGACATCAGCCTGTGGCTGGGGGCCCAGCAGTGCTTTCTGCTGCTTTGTGACCTGCCTGCTGGAGTGTCTGTAAGTTAAGGCAGAGAAGAGCCATCCACGCCTGTGCCCCCGGCCCCACTGGGTTCCAGTCTGGTTCATGCCCCAGGAAGCTGCCTGAGTGACGTGCCCCCAGAGAGGGCCCTGCCCAGCCTGGGCGGTCTGCAGCTGGGATGCCAGCCCCATCCCTTCATGGGTACTGCACTCCCAGCCACAGGCACAAGGTTGTTTCTGAGATGCAGAAACAGTAAATGCCAAGAATTCTCCTCACCTGCAGCACCGTGACCAGACTGTGTGGTTCGGGGTCTGAGGCACAGCAGCTTATGAGGCCACGTCCTCGCCCACGCCCCTGGAGAGAGGGTGGGGCGCGGGTACCAGTGCCATGCCCTGGTTGTCCTGATGAAGCCTGCATGCCGCCTCCTGGTGGCCACAGGCGAGATGCCCGTCCACCTTCATAGGCCTGCCCTTCGCCTCTCCTGGGTTTGATTATGCCTGTTGTTTGTCACGGTGATTTTTCTGCCTCACTTCCTGCATGGCTTATTTATTTATAACCCCCAGGGTTTCCGTGACAGTGAGGTTGCCCTGAGGGGCCCAGACACCAGGCCCCTTTCCTTCTCTGGCTTCATGGACTCACTAGGGAATCACCTGGTCGACGGATTTCAGGTCAGGGCAAAGCTAAATGTGAGCTTCGGATGTTTCTGGAGTGCTGCCGGACTGACCACCGGCCACGGTGTGTGCCAGGCAGCCAGGCTGGGGCCCTGGAGCCCTGCCCGTGTGGGTTCCACGCGGAGTTAGGCAGTGACGTCCACCCGCCTTGCACTGGGGCCTCTCCTGGTCCAGGGTCCCTGTACTGAGATTGGGGGGTAAGGTATGGAAAACCACCCCTGTGCTGCAACTGACACCTGGCCCATGGCCTTGGCATTCTGGAGTTGGGTGTGTGCCCCATGGCACGGTCTGCATGGACCCGATGCGTCCTTCCCACACGACTCTGTGTAAATACCACTGCAGCTGCTGCTTCTGGGATTTAGTTCATGTCCTCTCTAGGTTCCTATCTTTGGTTTTATCAGTAGAATAAAATTCTGTGAAATCAAGAATATTTGAGAATCTGCGTCTCATTCAGCATGAAAACTGGACAGTTGGAGAAAATGCCCCACCCTCCCTGGAGGAGTTTGTTCTGGGTCTAAATTGGCCCCGAGAAGTTAGCAAAACCGCAGAGCCCGTAGGGAGCAGCCCTGCCCAGTGCCAAGCGGGAGGGTCCCGCCCAGGAAGCCCCACCAGAGGTCCTCATGCTCGGACGCCAGAGCGCCTCCCCCAGCAGGGTGCAGTGCCCACAGGTGGGGGTGGTGTGGTGAGGCTGTGAGGTCACATCCCTCCGCTGCTGGCAGGAAAGGCCATGGTGACGGTGGTGTGGCCCCCGGAGACTGCCGATGACCTCCTGACCCAGCAGTCCCACTCCTGGGCATCTGGCCAAGAGAAGTGCACACACCCGCAGAACCCTTCATGTGGTGTGTTGTGCACAGGCAGCCCAGGTGCCTGCCAGCAACGGGTTAGTGTGGGGTGCGTGCCCTGTGGGGCAGAGCTCCGTCCTTGAAAGGAACGAAGGGCCGATGCCACGACCCAGGCGAGCCTCGGGGACGCTGCTGCGCCACCCAGGGTCACATGTGCTTCCACCTGTGTCAATGCCCAGAACAGGCAGATCTGTGGCAGGTGGGCTGATGGCAGTCACTAGGAGTGGGGAGGGCAGACAAGGGCTTATCGGTGGCCCCCAAGGTCGCCGGATCCAGGCCCTCTCCTGTGGTGGCGAGCGGCAAACATCCATGCTTGTCTCAGATGTGCCAACCAGGAGTGCAGGTGGGCCACCCTGAGACAGAGCGAGGGTCATCTGAGTGCAGGGCCCTTCAGGACCAGGCAACAGCAGGTGCAAAGGCCTGAGGCAGGGGCGGCCTCGGTGGGGGCTTGCAAGGGGACCTGGGTCTTATATCTGGTTTTGGAGGAGCAGGAAGCCCCGCATGCAGCCGAGACCGGACCGAGGAGACCGACTATGGGTGGTGGGGGTGAGGCCATAGGGCAGGGTGGAGGGGCAGGGCAGGGGGTGTGTGGCCCCTGCTTGGGTGCTTTCCAGGTCTGCTTACCCTTATTAGTTTTTCCATTCATTTATTGTGATAAATACACATAAAATTCACCATCTTATTCATGACAAGTGTGCAGCCCAGGGTGTGAAGCATGTTCACCTGTGCAGCATCCCCACCACCATCTCAAACTTTCCATCTCCCCAAACCGAAGCTCTGTCCCCACTGAACACTCACCCCCTCCCCTCCCTGGCCCCACCGTCCACTTTCTGTCTCTGTGGATCTGCCTTTGGTGAGCATGCTGTTTCCCTTGATTGTTTAGGGCCTCTGATTTCTTGCAGTAAAGCTCTGTAGCTTTCTCTGTACAGGTCTGTACATTTTCAAGAAGTTGCATTGTAAGGTGTGTTTTTCTCTGCTGCTGCAAGATGTGGCTATAAGGAATGTCGTGCTAATTAGTTGCTACAAACGTATGGAATAACAATTTTGTAGGTTGGCCTGGGCATTCAGTGGTCTTGCTGAAATCATATCGATTAAGAGGTTTTTTTAAACAGATTCCTTTATGTTTTCTATGTATTATCCACAAATTAAGATAGTTTTTTTTTTTTCCTTTCTTTTCCTTTCTGTCTCCTCCATGTGGTTTGTTGCCCTGGGAAGAGCCTCTAGTGAAATGCATAGTTAAACTGGAAAAGATTGGTGTCCGTGGCATGGTCCTGCTCACAGTGCCGGTGCGCTCAGCGGCTCAGCATTCTGGGTGATGCTTGTGCATACCTGTTTGTGTCCGTTCATGTCGCATTGATGCTGTAATGCTCCTTTTGAGACAGAGACCGTGGATGTAGTCAGAGTAGGGTGAGAGCCTCCGGAGCGGGCAGGGCGGGATATTTGCAGTCAGAGCAATATAACTACATGCAAGGAAAACCCCCTACTAAAACTCTATGTTAAACATTGAGCTCTAGAATCATTCTTCAGTGAAATCAGTTAATGTTCCCCAGATAAAGAAGAGTAGCACATATTTTATTATGCTAATCATTTGTAACCAATTTTTACAAGTGGTTGTCTTCAAATCAATTTTATTAGTACCATCCAGAGGTAGAAAAATGTTTTTCATTCACACGCTTAGACACACAAACATATAGACTGAGACATAATGACTACAGTTAGCAACACTTTTCAAAAAAGAACATATACACAGACAGATAAACTGATACAAAGATTTGAGTTACTGATAGTCAAATGCCTTCTTTCCTTTTAGCTTATTTGACTAAAAGTATCTCAGTTTTCAAGAATATACTCTAAGGGCGAGCAGTTTACATAACTGGGTTAAGGTTTAGATGGCCCCAGATGAACAGGGCTGATGAAGGCTCTGAACTGATAGGGACTGTGTGTGTCCAGGGGGCTGGAGATAAAATGCAAGTACAATTCTAGCACCAGTCACTTAAAGCCAGTCTGTATTGCAAAAGTTATATTTCTTCTGTTTCAGGGAGTTTAGTTTTAAAACTTCCCAATTTTTGAAGATAATGAACCCAATAAGTAGAATAGATATTCACCAAAAAAATTTAGAAAACTAGTCCCATATTGTAGTAGTCCACAGGACTTTGGACTATTTTCCTTCCTTGCATTAAAATTAATTTAGCTGCATAACCTTATTATATTGTTTACTTCTCTCAGGGACCAAGCCTCTCCATTAGAGAGTTTGTATTGAGGCCAGGCAGAAGATAAGACACTTCTTTTTCAGAGTCTGGGGATCAAAATTGCTCCCAGTTCTTTAGAATGCAAGCCAAGAGAGGCGTGTCTGGCTTTAAACTTGAAGAAGAAGCTCCCATCCGGAATAGAAAGACAGGTGTGTGACACCTGGTCGGCCTTTCCTCTGTGAGGGCGTCCCCTCGCCTTGGAGCCTGGGTGACAGTGGTCAGTCACCTCTGCCAGGCCTACTGGAATTAACCACTCCTTACCAGCATGGCCTGTATCTTGCCTTCCCCTGAGCAAGAGTTGCTTCAGAGCCCCAGATCTAGTGGGGAGTCCTGATCCAGACCCTAGTTTCTCTGCATGGGCTTTAGCATAGTACCCTCGGGATCATTCCTTGAGAGCTCCTGCCTGTCTGGTAAGTGCAGGGACTGTGTGACCTCTGGCTGCAAGAGCCTTGGTCTGAGCCACAGGCCTGTTTTGCTTCCCTGGGGCTGCAGGTAGAAATGCCATAGCCCCAGGATGGCTGCCTCTAAGGAAGGGAGGTCAATAGAATAGAGCCATTTACATGCTGGGCTCAGGGTTCAGCTTGATTACTTCACAGACTTCATTTACATTACGCAGGAGAAAGTGGCAGGAGAAAGTGGCACAGGCCTAGGAGGAGGGCTTTGAATGAGGAGCAGGGGAACTTTTTCCAATGCCAGAGATAGAATTCAGACAGACACTGCCATGGATAGTTATGGAGGGGGAGGATGTCTATACTCTTAAACACCAGTTTCTGCCACTGCCTGGGACTTATTTAGCCAGTCACCCACTGTAGCAAATCTGACCTGTGAGACAAGAGGTCAGGGGTCATCTGCAACTCTCGCATAGGCAGCAGCCAGGCAGGAGGTTCACTCAGCGCCATGGGGTCAATTGGCCGGAGCCGAGATCCAGGACCACTGTCTACTAGTCCGGTCTGCCCTCGGAGTCCGCAGATTAGGATAGGAAAGGAGATCAGCTCAACCACTCCCCGACATTCCCGTCCATCTGGAGGCAGGGGATAAGGAGCAGCGGACACCAGGAGACCTTTCACCCGAGACTTAAGACTGGTAGCTGACACTAATGTCTTTTAAGTGGCTAACAGGTGTCCAGACACATTTTTATGAGATAAAAAGTGCAGCATTTAGTCAGGAATAAGAGCAAAGTGTAGATCTACTTTGCGTTGGTAAGCATCGGGTTCCGTGAGATTGATGGAGTTGGAGGCACGCAGCGTGTAAAGGAAGTAAGGAGTGACCTTGCCTCACCCAGAGGCCAGTGTGGCCCGAGAAGCAGGCTAGGAGTCAGAGACAGAGAGAGACACTCCTCACGGACACCCAGGCAGGCTGTTGGGGTCTGATTCCAGACACATGGATCTTGGAGGAGACGCTGAAGTGTAGCCTCAGCCTAGACTCTCACAGTTGCCCATGGCCTTCCTCAGTCCCTGGCATCCAAGGCGATGCCTCTGAAGGTGAATCCTGGCCTCCTCTCAGGTGACTTTCCCGGCTCCCAAGGGAAATGGGGGATCCCCTGAGGGAGACGCAGGGGATCCTGTTCCTCAAGACTCTGAGATCAGCAGCCCAGCTGGTCTCATGTAAGTGGCTGACGAGCGCCCGACGCTGTGTGCCACAGATGGCTTCCGTCTATAAGGACAGCAAGAGAAAAGGCAGGCTTGGATGCCGATACTCACCTCCCAAGTTATCCCGGACGAGACCCCAAAGATGATGCCGGGCTTCTTGTTTGCAGAGCTGAAGAATGAACTTAGCAAACAGTTAAGGTAGGAGAGCCAGGGAGAGGCTTTTATTGAGAGATACAGAGAAAGGACAGAGCTTCTGGCTCACACCAGGAGGGGACAAGAGAGCCCCAGCATTACCTTTTACTATTTAATGTTTATGGGGTCTTTAATGATGCCCCCTTTCTCATCTTTGATATGGTTAACCTGTGCCTGTTTATTTTCCCCTTGATATAACTTTTAGGGGTTTAAGATTTTGTTTTTTTTTTCTATTGCAAGCAAATGATTTCTGGATGGTGAGTTTTTCTTGTGCATTTTCTGCTTCATTAATCACCAGTGTTGTCATCGTTGTCTTTCTTCTGATCTATTGAGGGTAATAGCTTGATTTTCTGTTATTTTTCCAAATTCTTGAGAAAAATACTTAGTTCTTTGATTTTCACATTTTTCCTAATTTATGCCTTGACTAATTGATGTTTTCTTCTAGTACAGCCTTAACTGTGTCACACAAGTTTTCACACTTCATGTTTTTATCGTCATCATCCAATTCAAAGTATTTCCTAATTTCTATTGGGACCTCTTGATTAATGGATCATTTAA